GTCAGGTTATTAAGTTTATCTTGCCTGGTATCTTTTTTTTCTTCTGTTGGAAGACCATCAAAATGGAGGATGGATCAAAATAGATACTTTGGAATACTGTCAGAAAATATCTCTGGGTCCGCATGTGCATGATTAAAATTCAGTGTTGACTGACAGTGCTATTATAAGCATTATTTATTATTGCATCAAAATTGACAAAATGGCCTATTTTGCATCTTTATTTTCTGTTTTTTGTCTGTACATTTGACAGCTTTGCTGCCTTGTTTTTTTTTAAATCCAATTGCAGAATCGACTCACTGGATGTTAGATCACTGAATTGGGATTAGTGAAGAAACCAGACTTGAAGTTCCAGCATGCTGTTTTTCTTTTTTTTCCAGGAGTCAAAGAAGCGGTCTTTTAGTGAGGAGTTTGTGGTGTTACCAGATGGGCAGGAGGCCCACTGGGAGGTGGTGGAAAGAATGCTCTTCATATATGCAAAACTCAACCCTGGACTGGCATATGTACAGGTCACTTTGTTGTTCATTGTTCAGTTGTAGAGGATTTGTGTTCACACACACACGCGCGCGCGCACACACACACACACACACACACACACACACACACACCTCTGTATAACATTTTTTTCTCTCTGTGAAAATTTTTTCATTCATATTCTTTTACTGAGAAAAGGAAATAAAAATTGCACCTATTATGGGCTCTTTTGAACTAAAACAGTAGCGACAGAAAAGAAGAATAAACTGAATAGTATATTCAGATGAGAGTACCTGGTGATTTACTTTAACTTTTGACATGAAGTTATTAGATTTGGCAATTTTACAATCTGGGTATCTTTAGACTTTTCCTAAAACTAGCTTTTAACTGATACCTATTTTCATCTTCAGGGAATGAATGAAATAATGGGTCCCATATACCACACATTTGCCTGTGATCCAAGACAGGACTGGAGAGGTTTGTATTGAGTTTTGATATTAAAGGGATAACAACTCCTCATATGAGACAGGTTTATTTTGTGTTTTGATATTAAAGAGATAACAACTCCCCATATGAGAATCAAAATTTCACAATAAGTTCATTAGAAACAACACATAGGAATATAAAAAATTTGATTTTACCACAATTATACTGAAATCTGTGCTTGCCATCAGACCATGTGGACCTTCATAGATGAATACCCTCCTCTCTTAAGGGATTGCTACAAAAACCACACTAATCAACTAACTTTGAATGTTGGAAAGGATTCATTAACCATTGAAAAGTATTTAGGGGGTAATGGTTGTTTACCCCAGGTAAATCCGTTTTATTTCACCTGTCAAAATGAATGGTTCTTATCCCTTGAATTCGGTACACAGTTGCTAAGAACCAAGAATAACTTTCATATAGTAGATCTTTATGCATGGCTGCATACTTTTTTTTATTATTAATATTATTATCATTATTAGTTTATTTTATATTTTTACAGAAAATGCAGAAGCAGATGCCTTCTTTTGTTTCACAAACCTTATGGCAGAGATTCGTGATAACTTTATCAAGACACTGGATTTTGATTCTTCTTGTGGAATAGGTAGGGAGTGTAATTTGTAGTTTTGAAATATTTGTGTGCATGAGTTATAGCCCTGGGTAAAACAAAACTGGTAACTGTCAGATTGACATCACAAGACATTTCACACAATGTTAAGGAAAATTTGAAGCCACTTGTCACCTTATGAAAATCGGGGTGTTTTATTTATTTTTTATTTATTTATTTATTTATTTGTTTGTTTGTTTGATTGAGCTTTTTTTCCAATTAGTGAAGAAAATAGGAAAGGGAATCTCTTTTTTTATCACTTGCTTTAGAGATACATGTAGAATATATTTCAATAAATGTAACTTAATTTGTGTCACTTTATACGTAGGTGCTGAAATGAACAAGCTGATGTTACTGCTGAAGAAAAAAGATCAGCGTCTTCATGCTCAGTTGCGAGACCAGGACCTGAAGCCTCAGTTTTTTGCCTTCCGCTGGATTACCTTGCTGCTGTCTCAGGAATTTAGTCTTCCAGGTGAGAAAGTTTTTTTAACTGCTGAACTTAAGTTAGTGTTAAGTTCTTCAAAATTTAAGTTTATTCAACTGCAGTTTAGGCCTACAGGCCAAGCATACATCTATTACAATAATGATAATAGACTGGCCAATACGGCTACAGCATTATATTACAAACATTATACAAATTTGCTTTTCTCAACAAAATCCTCTCTGGTATTGTTAGCATAATATATGTAGGCAACCAGGTTGAATTCTAAACATATGCATAGTTTTCATCTTGTCCACGGGTTGCTAGATGTTTTTCCAATAATACAGAAATACAGGCACTTAACACTTTCCAGTATATCCTTGATTTTTTAAATATCCACATATGTGTAAGAGCATATTCAAAACAAGTTGATCTGCAAACTAACAGATACACAGATCAGATATTGCCAACCCACTTGAAAGCTTGCCCCACAATCCCTATTATACATTGAATAGATTCCCCACAGGGAGTACACATTAAGCTGTCAAGTGGGTCGGCCATATTGGATCCACGGGTCTGTTAGTCTGTGGAAAAACTTTGGTTGTGAATGCGTCCCAAGACATAAAAGTCTCTCATCAGACAGACAATGTCTGCAACTTTGCCATTTTCAATCCATACATCAAATTTATTTATATACTAATGATATAAATGTTTGAGTCCTGAGAATAATTTTTTTTTTAAAGAATTTATTTAATCTTTCGTACTTTTAGATAGATATGTGTGATTTAATACTGGGGATAATTAACAAATTGTATATTAATTGTTATATGGATCTTTTTCCTCCTTCAGATGTTATCAGATTGTGGGATTCCTTGTTTGCTGACGGAAAAAGATTTGAATTCCTTCTGTATATTGGCTGTGCAATGCTGATGTAAGTACATTTATGTAATATTAGACATGTAGCAGTTCTTATATTTATTTAAAAATTCATTTTAGACTTCTGTATGAATGCATTGCTTGGTTCCAGTTATTTCTAGTGTAGAGACTACATTTTCTGTAAGAATTTTTAGTATGATATTGTAATGGTCTATTGAATATTTCATTGGCAGTTTTGAAACATCCAGATTTTTAAAAAGTAAAGTAATTTATAAAAGACTTAGTATTTGTTTTCTATTAGAGCGAGCATTAATTACCTTTCAGTGCTAAATGATAGCATATATATCAATTATTTATGTCAGTCATATATATTAGTATTATATAACTCAGCCTATGCCATATGTTTTTCAGTCACCTAAGAGAAGAATTGTTACAAGGGGATTTCACTGTAAATATGAAGCTAGTGCAGGTAATCAATTTTTATGTACAGACACAGATGTGTCTGTACATATAGCCATCATCTGCGTCTGTCGTCGCTGTCGCCGTCGCCGTCGTCGCCGTCGCCGTGCACTTTT